TCCCAATAGTTCATTTTTGCCCTTGCTTCCCTTGCCTTTGGAGATGTGTCTAGGAAGAAGTTGCTGGCTGAGATCAAAGAGGTTGACTTATGATTTTCTTTCCCTTGTTAAGGAAGGATAGTTTGGACTATTGATTAAAATAAAATTAAGAATTAAAAAAAATTTATCTGGCATTTCTTATTAAAAATCTAGATTTTAGGTTTAGAATATCATCCAGACTAGATAAATCACTTACTGTTGTTCAAGAAAAAAAGCTTTGTTTGATTTTGTTTAATGATTGATTTTCTTTTTGTTAATATTCTTGTAGTTTATATAGAATCTGATTTATTTTTAAATGTGTTTAAGAATATTAGGTATGGTCCTTGAAATAAAGTATACCGGAAGCATAATGTTAGATTCTTTTCCTACTTATATCAACATGGTCTTTCATTGGCTGTATACATGTATACATATCTGATTCTAAACTTGTAAGTTATACAAGTTTCTATAAACACTAAGACTGTATACACCTATTTTTATTTTGTCTACTAACATGGTACATGTAGAGTGCTTATTAGCAAGTGTAAAAATGGACCACGATGTAAAAGTGCCAAATAACTGGTAATGGTTGTTACCATATTGTCATTCTCTCAGTGAGCAAAAAGTTAATTTTAAGTCAACTTTAGAGTGTGTTCATTATAATAAATTATATTCATTGGGTGAAAACCTAATCTGACTTTTGTTTTCTTGGCAGCAACTTGAATTGGTGGAACCAAGTGGCTGGATTCACGTACCCTTAACTGATAATCATAAGAAGCCAACTCGCACATTCATGATACAGATTGCTGTTCTAGCCAATCATCAAAATGGAAGAGACACCCACATGAGACAAATTAAAATATACACACCAGTAGAAGAGAGCTCCATTGGTAAATTTCCTAGATGTACAACTATCGATTTCATGATGTATCGTTCAATAAGGTGACCTTAACACAGGACAAAAGTCATTAAACATATCTTTGTTTTATCTTGTCAGTAAATATTATATCTGGAATCTTTATTGAAAAAAACATCAGTTACTTTGCAATTTTGTATGCATTGAAGAGTATTTTATTGTAACTTTAATAAATAGATTTTGGGTCATATAATTTTTATTTTCTTTAACATATAATGAAGCTCACATATTTTACATTATTAAAAAAAGATTTGAAGCCAATCATTAAATTTTTCATTATAACGAAAAACAATTGAACTGAAAATTTTAAGAGATAACACAATTTTTTTTACTAAGTGATTATTTCATATAGTGAATGTGCATTAGAGTGATGCTTTATTGAATGTTTGGGAACAATACTATGTTTTATCAGTAGATACTGTCTTTAATAGGCCAAAATTCTTCTTCTCTTTTTTTCTTTCTAGAGGAAGCTTATTCTTTTAAAACTGGGCCTTTTAAAAAACAGTATCAAAATAGGCTTAGCATTAGGTATCTTATGAGAACTATTCTGATTTGGAGAATATAGTTATGTGTCTCATGAAGTTTTTTAAATGTATGAGATTGTTCTTTGTATATAAAAATATTTTAAAGGCACTAAATGTGTTTTCTTTCCATAGTTTAAAATGAGTAGATTTGATTCTGTATGCTTTTTTCCCCCCTGTATTTATTACTTTTTAGGAGGATAATTATATAGCCCAGAACTTCCCCAGATTGGTTCTTGTTTGGAAAAGATTCCTTGGTGGTTTTTGCATTGCTGGATAGATTGAAGTCTTAAATTGTAAAGTTTTCATTCTTTTTTTTTTTAATTGAAGTATAGTTAACATACAATGTTCTATTTGTTTCAGGTTTATAACATAGTGATTTGACAATTCTATGTGTTACTCAGTGCTCACCAGGATGAGTGTAGTCACCATACAAAGTTACTGCAATGTTACTGACTGTATTTTCTATGCTGTACTTTTTATCTCCAGGATTTACTTATTTTATAACTGAAAGTTTGGATCTCTTAATCCCCTTCACCTATTTCACCCATCCCCCTAATCCCCTCCCCTCTGGAAACCACCAGTTTGTTCTCTTGTATTTAAGAGTTTGTTTGTTTTGTTTTGTAGACTACACATATAAATGAAATCAGTTGGTCTTTGTCTTTCTCTGTTTGATTTATTTCACTTAGCATAATACCCTCTAGGTCCCTCCATATTGTGAATGGCAGGATCTCATTCTTTTTTAGGGCTGATTAATATTCCATCCTGTGTATTTATATAGCACATCTTCTTTATTCATCTGCTGATGGACACTTGGGTTGCTTCCATGTCTTGTTAATGCTGCTTTAAAACATAGGGATGCATATATCTTTTTGAATTAGTGTTTTTGTTTTCTTTGGGTAAATACCCAGCAGTGGAATTGCTAGATCATATGGTAGTTCTATTTTTTTTTTTTTTTAAAGATTTTATCTATTTATTTGAGACAGAGAGAGAGCATGAATGAGGGGTAGGGGCGGAGGGACAGGGAGAAACAGACTCCCCACTGAGTAAGGAGCCTGACATGGAGCCCAGTCCCAGGACCCCGAGATTATGACCTGAGCGGAAAGCGGATGCTTAACTGACTGAGCCATGCAGGCGCGCCATGGTAGTTCTATTTTTAATTTTTTGAGGATCCTCCATATTGTTTTCTACAGTGGTTGCCTCAGTTTACATTCCCACCAGTAATGCAAAAGGGTTTCCTTTTCTCCACATCCTTGTCAACACTTGTTATTTCTTGTCTTTTTGATAATAGCCATTCTGACAGGTGTGAGGTGGTATCTCATTGTGGTTTTGATTTGCATTTCCTGGGTGATTAGTGATATTGAGCATCTTTTCATATATCTGTTGGTTATCTGTATGTCTTCTTTGGAAAAATGTCTATGCAGGTCCTTTGCCTATTTTTTTTTTTTTTAAAGATTTTATTTATTTACTCAGAGCACGAGAGAGCGAGAGCACAGGCAGGGGGGGAAGCGGTAGAGGGAGAAGCAGACTCCCCGCTGAGCAGGGAGCCTGATGTGGGCCTCAATCCCAGGACCCTGGGATCATGACCTGAGCGAAGGCAGACGCTTAACCGACTGAGCCACTCAGGTGCCTCTTTGCCTATTTTTTAATCGGATTGTTTGTTTTTTGGTGTTGGTTGTGTAAGTTCTTTATATATTTTGGATATTAACTCCTTATTGGATATATTATATGCAAATATCTTCTGTCATTCAGTAGATTGCCTTTTTGTTTTATTGGTGGTTTTCTTACCTGTGTAAAAGCTTTTTATTTTGATGTAGTTCTAATATTTTATTTTTGCTTTTGTTCCCCTTGCTTGAGAAAAATCCATAAATGTGTTGCTAAGGCTGATGTCCCACAGATTACTGCCTGTGTTTTCTTTTAGGCATTTTATGGTTTCAGGTCTCACATTTAGGTCTTCAATCCATTAAATAGTAAAGTTTAAAAATTAATTATGTGTATGCTTTATTCTGGCAAGGAGTACTAATTTACATGGATACTCCAAAAAAGGCTTTCATTTTTTCACTTAGTAGAATCTCTGCTGTTCTTTCTATGAATTCCACTTAAAAGAAAAGGGGAGAGAGGGGCACCTGGGTGGCTCATTCGGTTAAGCGTCTTAACTCCTGATCTCAGCTCAGGTCTTGATCTCAGGGCTCCATAAAAACAACAACAACAACAACAAGACAACAACAAGAAAAAAAAAAAAGGAGAGAATCAACAAAAATAATAGCAATATTCACTAGGTACTATAATGAATGTTTTGCTTTAGTCTGATAAGGAAAACATTCATGTAAACATAAGGTCTTAGTATAAGAGAGAAATCTAATAAAAAGTACCGAAGGTTTTATTAGTAATAATGTTACGACTTGCTAAATGCTTTTTAAAATTTTGCTTAAAAGAAACAAGGAAGAGGACTAATTATCATTTACATGATCCACTCTGTTACCTCCTACTAATAGTTTCCTAAGAGGCTCTTAAAATCAGGAGGGATTAAGAAGAATGTTGAGAAAATCAGTATGTTTTCTATTTCTATTCTTACTCTCTCTGTTTTTATATGCCAGCGGGCTGGCCACCTTGATTAGGCATGGGAAAAATTGGTAGTGGAAGATTATGGAGATAATGGTTCCCTTTTTATAAGGATTATTTAAAATACAGATAGACCACGTATTATAATATTGACAAAGCATAATTATCTAAAATAGTTGCATTTCGGGCGCCTGGGTGCCTCAGTTGGTTAAGCGTCTGCCTTTGGCTCAGGTTATGATCCCAGGGTCCTGGGATCTAGCCTGCCGTCGGGCTCCCTGCTCCTTGGGAACCTGCTTCTCCCTCTGCCTCTCTCTCTCTCTGTCTTTCATGAATAAATAAATAAAATCTTAAAAATAAAATAAAATAGTTGCATTTCTCTTTTAAAAGTGCAAATAATATACCTGATAAAGGACTTGTATCTAGAATATATAAAGAATTCTTACAACTCAACAGTAGGAACACAAACAATTCAATAAAGGAAGCAAAAAATTTGAATAGTCACTTTCCAAGGAAGATATAGGATTAGCAAATGAACTTGTAAAAAGATGCTCAGCTTCAATTGACATTAGTGAAATGCAAACTAAAACCACAGTGAGATACCATTTCACGGCTGCTAGACTGGCTAGAATTAAAGACAGTTGCAAGCAATGGCAAAGATGTGGAGGAACTGGACCTCACACTGATGGTGAAGTTGCAATTAACGTATAACCATTTTGTAAAACAGTTCAGTGATTTCTTAACAAGTTAAACATATACCTATTATATGACCCAGTCATTTCACTTCTTGATGTTTACCCAACAGAAAAGAAAGCATATGTCTATACAAAGAATATACATAGCTTTATTTGTAATACCTGAAAACTGGAAACAACCCAAAAATCGATCAATAGGAGTATATATGAACAAATAGTCATATATCCATGTAATAGAATACTGTACTCAGCAATAAAAATGAATGAACAATTAGTACATGCAGCAACATGGGTAAATTTTCATAAAAATTATGCTGAGAGAAAGAAGCCATACAAAAGAGAGTACATACTATTTGATTTTTTTTTTTTTTTTTTTAATTCTAGAAAATGCAAACAAATCAAATGACAGAAAGCAGATCCATGGTTGTGTGGGATGGGGAGTTGGGAGAAGTAAGGAGAGATGGACTATTTGGGGGAATGATAGAAATGTTCATTAATCTGATTGTGGTACTGGTTTCACAGGTATATACACATTCCAAAATTTATCAAATTATACACTTTAAATATGTGCAGTTTATTGCATGTCAATTAAACCTCAATAAAAATAGCTTATTCTACCTGTTTCACAGAGTAATCATTCAAAGATGCTAGATTTGAAGTAGTTCTATGTCTTACTGAAAGGATCTGAAAATAAAAAACTAAGATTGAAGAGCGATTTTAATAGTTAATGAAACAGTGACAGCAAATTCACTCATTCATAATCAGTATTTGTTTTTGAGTATTGGACAAACTGTGCAGTTATAAGATTCAAATTTTTAAATTTCACATGCAATCTAAATGTAAGATACTTTCAAAATCAGCTCAGTAGCTGGGGAAATATTGTCATAAGAAGCTGTATAAAACTGGAATTTTAAAATACAGTGTTTCCAAATCACTAAGATGTACACCTGAAACTAATGTAACACTGTGTGTTAACTATACTCACATTAAAAAATTAACTTTAAAAATTAAAAAAATAATAAAATAAAATACAGCAGTTCATTGAACACTAATAAATAGGCAACTCTAAAAAAGACTAGTAGATATTGGGTATTAAATTAGATTTAATAAGGAGACCAAGATAAATATGATGCAGACCTTGCTTTCCAGTTGCTTATAATCTATTAGGGGAAATAATCTCTAATGAGCCAAATCAGAAATTAGAGTGGTAAGATCTCTAATTGATGGGTAAGGGTATAGAGGAAGGGAGAGTTGACTTTCTGTTCAGGAAGACAGAGGTGAAACTAAAGAAGACATTTGTGGAGAAAGTGGAATTTTTAAAAGACTATTTGTAATATCTAGTTATTTACTTTTCAAGCCTATTCTTGAATCCAGACTATCATTGTTTTTATGAGTAACAATTAATTTGAAACAGATGATTTGTGTTTTAAGAATTAAATGATGTTTTGTACATTTACTCTTGTT